GTCCACTCTCCATCCTTTCTCAGCCATCAGATTAATTCCTTTGTCCTTGAATCCCACTCCCAATCCCACTCCCAAACCTATATAGACACATGTCTCCAGCAATACCCCAACTCTCTCTCATGCCCAAAGAGGTCTCCCTGAAGTGCTCTTTCCCTAGTCAGTATACCTTGACTCCTTGCCTGCTCTCACCACAGTCTAGGGAGTCCTCTTTTTAACCTTGACCAGAGGGTCTCAAGAGTATGTTACTAGCCTGGGAGCAGGGCACCTCGGTCCATCTCTCTGAATCCTAGCAAATGGAGTAGTGGACAGAGGCTGGTATGTTGCTAGCTTATCTACCTGTTTTATGAGGGAGGTTGGGATAACATTGAGGGGCCACAGGCCCTGTCTGGTGTCAGTGTCTTTCATTTTCTCTTAATATTTTGCCAGTTTTCTTTAATGATGCTCCCTTCAACACTGTCCAAGCCAATAAAATTGTTAATTACCAAACCAAAACCGAAATCATTGTTTTTAAAGATCTATTAATTTATTTGCGCACAGAAGAACTGGCGTGTAGGCCAGAGGTGCGGAGGGTGAGAGGATTCACCTGATACAGTGTGGTGAGCAGAACAGGCAAATTTTTACTGAAGTACACTACTGTGGGGAGCAATGGGCAAGACTTCAGGTCTGTTAACACCGTATGTGGGCTGCTCCCTAGTTGGGGATCAAATTCAGGCTACTGGGGTAATAGCACTGAGACTTAAACTCTATGCCACCAGGGAGGTTCTTAAATCATTTTTTTTTTTTAATAAACCATTATCAGCCAGGATTTTCTGGAAGTCCACAAAATTTCAAATAAAATATGATTCAAGTGCTCACCAAACCTCCCTTCCCACTCCTGCCTTGACTCTTCCCTTAGAGTATTCAAAACACACTGAGAATAAAGCCATTTTAATACTCAGACTAAGTAAGCAGTCACTAGTATAAGATAGGCAGAGAACACTAAACCTGTGTACTTTTAGACAGGTTATGCAGCCTGTTCCAATCTATTTAAGCAAGTCTCTACAAAAGTGAAATGATCCCATAAACTAGGAGTTACCTTTAAAAGGAGTAGACTCTAAAAAGTGAAACAAATGGGACCTCTAAGACTTGCTGCTAGAAGGAGTTTACTCCCTCAGCAGACACAGCACACAGCTGGTAAAAATCACTGACTTCAGGATAAAGAAAAAAAAAATGCTTAAGATGGTAAATTTTGTGTAATTTGTATTTTAACACAAAAATTTTAGAAGTAAAAGTCTTGAAAGCAACTAGAGAAAAATAATCAATATACACAAGAGAAAGGTTCCAAGGGATGTAATTTTCTTAACAAAAATAACAGAAGCCAAAACATATTTAAAGTGCTTAAAAAAAGAACTGCCAATACAGATTTCCAGATTTCTATATCCAGGGAAATATACTAGAAGTGAAGGCAAAATAAAGACATCCTCAGGTGAAGAAAGAGAATTTGTCACTAACAGTTTTGGTCTTTAATAAATGCTAAAGGTCGTTCTTCGGGCTGAATGGAAACAATACCAAAGGAAATCTGGATCTTGAAAAATGAAGGAAGAAAACAAAAATGAAAAATTTTAGTAAATAAAAATGACTTTTTTATTCTCCTAAATTTGTTACAGTATATATGACATGACAGAGAAGAGCAAAAACTAAAACACTATTGGGTTTTCCTAAGTATTTAGCTGTTGTATTTATGATAACTACGATATAAAGGTCATTGTTGAACTGTGTTAAAGGAACCTATAAGGTCACAAGGTTTCTACATTTTACATGGTATAGCACAAATAAGCTATAAAATACAAACAGGTTATAAATAAAACATAAAAAGCTAGGCATGGCCCTCCCTGGTGGCACAACAGGTTAAATCGCAGCACTGCAAGTTGGCCCCAGCCAGTGAATTCTATCTCCTGCCCCCAAGACCCACATGGCGTGGCAGACCTCTCCTGTCTCGCCCACTGCTCCCCTCAGCAGTGTACTTCATCGATCTGCCTATTCTGCTCCCCACTCTGTCTCTAGTAAATTCTTGCACCGCCCCTATACCTCTGGTATGTACCCCAGAACTGTATGCATAAATAAATCTTTAAAAAAAAAAACAAAAAACCTAGGCATATGTGTGTGTACATAACCACTATGTACTAAATAATAAATTAATAAAACAGACTAGAAGTGCAATGAAATAGTACTTACAAAATATTTGTGATCTGGCCAAATTAATACTAAGAAAAGTCACAGTATTAAACATATCAGAAAATAAAAATCGAATTCATCAACTCAAAAAGAACAAAAATGTCAAAAGGAATTTCAAAGAAAGTTCTAATATCAATTTTTAAAAAAATGACTGAATTGAGAAAAGACTAATTTTTCTATTAAATTTTTATTTACCATCCCAATCAAATCTAGAATAAACCAACACCAAACTAAGCATTTTGAGGTACTGGGAATTAAAATTTCAACCTCTAAGTTGAAATTTGAGTAAAAATTCCTGCTGGCTGATGGGAAGTAAGATGTGGTCTTATTGAGTCCAAGCTAACTTTCACTTTCTAAACATATCACCAAAGAATCCTTGAAATTATCATATCCTTTCCTCTCAATGTGGTTAGAGTCCTGGGGGAAATGGGAGCATCCTTCGGCAGTTGGCCATGACGCAGCTGGAGAAGGGAATACGGCTACAGGATAACAGGCAGTAACATGGGTCCAGGCTCAAAGGAACCCAAAGTCCAGTGCCACTCTCAGGATCTCTATGGCAGGCCTGCGGCTCTGTTTCTCCAAGGAAGTGTAGACCCTTTAAGCAGGAAAAACATAAATTGTTTCACTTGGCCTCTTTCTTTCTGTTTGAGGACCTTCAGGTCCATAGTGTGGCCTTTAAAGAAATAGAAAACTGAGGGCCCGAAAAAGAATGAGCTCTGGACCTGCACTTGGTCTTCTATAACAAAACAGACTAGCTTAAACAGAAATATATATGAATAATTTTGAAGAAAACACCACTTAGTGATTTCATCTAGTGTATTAATGTGGAAAAAGTCGAACCATTTAAAACATATCTTTTATGCAATTTATACATTTGTTTACAACAGTCTATTGCCAATCCCCTCAAACTCCTGGGCCAGCCACATAGTGTTACACATAATATTATGCTGTCTGTATTTCTTGACAGAAGTCAGATAATGAGGTTAAAAAGAAAAAGTGAGACTTTTATAGTTCAGCTGCTTAACTGCTTTCTAAAACTGTCATACTCATTTATTGTGACTTGGCAAAGTGCAAGATTACCAGTTTCAGGAACCCCTCAACTATAGGGATCATCAATTTTTGATAATGTAGATATCACAAGATGGGACATTATTCTAAACATTTTTCTAACACAGCCAAATATTTTCCTTAATTTTTAATATCTCTTCTAGCCTTTACAAGCTGTGTACTCACACAATTAGCATCCTAACATGCACTCTGTGAAGACACTATACAATCTGATGAGTTTTAAAAGTTGTCCATTGTTCTGGTGTCAAATACATATGACTTAAATTTCTGCTCAGATTTCAACATGCACACAGGTACCCTTCCAGAAATATTGTTTACCAAGTAGGTGTTTCAGTCACAGGCATGATCACGTGTGAATGTGTATGAATGTATATGCTTAGGTGATTACAACTTTGAATAACAGATGTCAAATTAAACCCTTGAAATGCTTATAAAGGGAGAGTGCACTCCCAACGGCAGACCATTAGACATCTTCTTCCCTAAATCCATGAGAAAAATGCCTACTTACCTTTACAGCACTGCTCAGGTGGTAACTACCTCTGACACTTATTAGCCTAACGCCGTCTCCTCAGTACCTTCTACATATGTATGAGACATATTAGGCTATTTTTCCCAACAGAGTAGGAGCTCTGGATGGCAAGAACTGTGTCAACACCATTTCAGTATTCCTACACTGTATATGGCAAATAAAACAGTACCTTCAAACCATTTGAACAAAGACAACTCAGCAAAATTTTTGCATAGTGCATCAGTACTGCACGTAATTCTTATTACCTTTAATGCCTGAGTAGTCTTCTGATCATGATATAGTTCACATGATTATTAACAAAATTGATTTTATAGTTTTCTTTTTTAAAAAACAGAAGTGCAGGGCTCTCCCTGGTGGCTCAATGGGTTAAAGCATTAAAGCACCACGACTGTGTAGCTCTCCGAAGCCACTGCAGCATGAGTTCAATCCCCGGCCAGGGAGCTGACCCACATGGCGCGGCAGACCTCTTCTGACCCGCCCACTTCTCCCCTCAGCAGTGTACTTTGTCAATCTGCCTGTTCTGCCCCCCACTCTGTCTCTGGTGAATACTTTCACCCAACACATCTCTGACCTGTACCCCAGTTCTGTAAGCATAAATAAATAAATCTTAAAAAAAAAAACCTCCAATTATTTCCTTAAAAAAAAAGTGCAGCAAGTACTAAATGAAAATGCAACTTTGAAGCCAATTTTGAAAATGTTTCTCAAATCTACTTTCCACTATTATATACCCAAACTCTACTTATTATAACATAAATAACAACATTAAGTAATTAAATGTCCCTAATCGAATCCCAAATACTGATGATCATTGTCTATATGAAAGAAATAATTTACTTCTGAATTTGGGTTTTTGTAGACAACACAGTTCCAAGCACTTTTAAGCAACTAAACAGAGAACGTATTATAGAGTGGAAAAATTATTTTCTTATACATATTCCATATTTACAACATACAATTATATTCCTAGACAGAAATATATTTACTTATAACATAGAAACATTGTAGAATATGAAATATTTCTAATTTATTAGCCAGGTATCATTATTTAATCAATGGTCACCATCAATGTCACTGATTAAAAGAATATCCTATTTTCATTAAGCTACAAACATTTCATAATATCACACCCTGGCCTCTGCCAGGAGCTTTTTGCTGGCAGTGCTGAGTCCCTGACTGGTCCGAGGCTCACCTGACAGGTCCAGCTCCTCAGTGGAAGACAAATTGGCCAGACTCCAGCTATCACTGCGGGCTGCCAGGACAAACTTGTGAGCACTGATGTATTTGCTCCCAACCTTTATCTTCAGATCACTGGTAAAGAAAAATATACACAAAAGTAAAAATGAAAATACTATAACTACATCATAACTAGTTATAGCTAGGATTCATGCTGATAAATATATGGATGGTGACTGAACACACACCAGCAAAAGAAAATCAAAGCAAAGCAATTTCTCTATGCTAGCACTGAATTCTGAGGGATGATGTTTGTAAGATGCTGTTAGGCCTATTTTCTACTCTCAACTTCTGCCTTTAGTTTAAATGGGATGTTCTATTTTCAAAGACATTTCCTAATGGGATTCTTATTGTAGTGAATCTACAAGTTAAATAGGATGATTAATATGCCTATAACAAGTAGAAGTTTCACACTGAATAAACCATCAAGAGAAAAAGCTTAAAGATTATGGTGACAATTCTAAGACTACTGCACTGCTATGTTCCGTACCATATAATTTTTAAAGCAACGTTATCAGAAAAACTATGTACAGATTAACTTTGCAAAGCAATCGAGAAAATTAAATCTAAGATAACAGACACCCGTTCTCACCAGAAACATTCAGAACTACTTACCAGCCATCTTTTTACTCAACCATTCATAAAGAAATGGGGTAAAAAAAGAAAAACTCCCCTCCCCCCAACATATCCATTTTTATGACATACCAGTATTTGAAGAGTTTTCCAAATGGTTATTCATTTGCTAAGGGGGAAAAGCATCTGGCAGATACCAAAAAGTTAAGGATAACCCTCTGAGCTGACACAAACATATGCTATATGGTTATAGGTTGGCAACAATCCAAAGTCATTATTTATCAGCACCCCACTAGTACTTACGTTTATTTCTCATTCTCCCCTTTAAAATAATTTGTGAGATTATAATGACTTTAAAAATGAAATGCACAGGCCCTCCCTGGTGGCGCAGCAGGTTAAAGCAAGCAAGCCATAGCTGCTTCAGTGTGAGTTCGATCACCAGCCTTGGAGGTGACCCTCATGGTACAGCAGACCTCTCCTGATGTGCCCACTGCTCCCCTGATATGTACTTTGTTAATCTGCCTGTTCTGCTCCCCACTCTGTCTCTGGTGAATCCTCTCACTTCCTGCACCTCTGGCCTACACCCCAGTTCTTGTATGCATACATAAATAAATCTTAAAAAAAAAAAAAGGAGCTACCCTTTACTCAGTATTGTTTCCTATTTTTGGGATATTAAATTTGTCTAGTCTTTAGATATTAAGATGATCATTCTGGATTTTGACCTTTTTTTTTAAATTGGTTAACCTTTAAAAATGCCACTTTATGACAATTCAAAACACTAAGTCAAAACCACACTGGTCCATATTTCCTAAAGGAGCAAATCCATTCTAACTTTCCCACCCTGCTTATTGCACCCCTACATGGACATGAAGCTAAAATGGCCCCTCCACTGTCCTCTAAATCCTCTTCATGAATTGTTTCAGTCATGCCACCTACTGGTAATATCACTGTCTTCCTTAAATCTCACTCAGCCTTCATACTTACCTCAAAATTCTCTTACTACTAGCTAATAATTATTAACTATGTGCCAGATATTGTTCTAAGTGCTTAAAATATGCATTTATTAATTTAATTCCCGCTCTAGCCCTAACGAAAGTATTAATACTATGACCCCCACTTTGTAGATTAGGAACCCGAGGGAAATCATGCAACTCCAGTTCACAGAAGCAGAAAAGCCAACTGAGCTTCAAAACAGGCTGTGTGGCTCCAAAGTCCAGGCTTAATCATCACACTGACCACTAGAGTTCCAAGATCCCTTTGACCATCCCCAGGGAAATGATCTCTCACCTATGAATTACGAAACATGTAAACTAATTCCAGTCTACAAAAGCTAGGTATCATCACAATACACACATTCTGTGCTGAAGAAAAGCAGGAACACGAGACGAAATCTTGCCTCAAGGAGCACATATTCTAGAGATTAAAGGTTTGCTCATTACAGGTTAAAAACTGGTTTGGGGCCCTCCCTGGTAGCGCAGCGGGTTAAAGCACTGCACTGAGAAACTAAAGCCACTTCCGCATGAATTCAATCCCCGCCTGCCCCGGAGGAGACCACATGGTGTGGCAGACCTCTCCTGGCCCGCCCGCTGCTCCCCTCAGCAGTGTACTTCGTCGATCTGCGTGTTCTGCTTCCCACTCTGTCTCTGGTGAATCCTCTCACCCTCCGCATCTCTGGCCTGTACCCCAGTTCTGTATGAATAAATAAATAAATCTTTAAAAAAAAAAAAAACTGGTTTGGCTCCCAAAACTGCTGTGTCTAGAAGCTCACCTATACTGCTCCTGCTCATAGAGGTCAGCCACAATCGTCAGCAGACGGCTGATGAAGGACTCGTTGCTGTTTTCCTTGTTTGCTTGTGCAGCCAAAAGAGTGCATCTCTTCTCTGTCTCTGCCAACTTCTTCTGCAGCTTGACATACTCTTGTCGGAGAAGCATCAAGTGCTTCTCCAATTTGGCCACCTCCTCTGCAAGGAAAACAGTGAATCAAGTTTATCCTGGCAGGTGGAAAGCAGACAGCATGTATTATTCCTTCACTTCAAGGACAGGACAGCAACCAAAATGACTAGTCAAATGACTAATTCTATTTCTTTGTTATACTCCCATAGAACCAAGATTCTGGCACCCAGGGTAAAAAAAGTGCAGGCTTTATTGAAGCTTAACAGTCAATATGACAAGGAACAGATGCATATAAACTGCTGATAGGACTTGTCCTGCAAATCCTTTACTGTAAAGGCAGAAGATATCAAGGAAAGAAGAATAGCAGAATCATTTAGGAGCCTTTTTCAAACCACCGGTAGTAACATCTTTCACATGTCAATGCTGCCCTACAAATCCCATGTAAAAATGTTCATGCATGCCCTCCATTGTGGCGCAGCGGGTTAAAGCACAGCACTAAGAAGCTTAAGCCACTTCCACCTGAGTTCGATTCCTGCCTGCCTCGGAGGTGACCACATGGCGCTGACCACATGGCGCGGCAGACCTCTCCTGACCCGCCCACTGCTCCCCTTCAGTGTACTTCATCGATCTGCCTGTTCTGCACTCTGTTCTGTCCCTGGTGAATTCTCTTACTGCCCCTGCACCTCTGGCCTGTACCCCAGTTCTGTATGAATAAATAAATCTTAAAAAAAAAATTGTTCATGACAACACCAGGAAGTGGGTAATATGCTAATTACATATTGCAGATGAGGACACTGAGACACAGATTAAGAATTTGCCCAAAATTATGATGCTGGTAAGAGGTGCAGCTTAGAAACAAAACAGCAGGCAGTCTCATTTCCAAATCAATGGTCTTAGAACCACTCCCCAACACTCCCTGAACAACTGCTTTCCTACAAAAAAGGATCAAGGCAGTAGATGGAAGCCATAACCACAGATGTGCTGGGGCAGGTTAAATAGGTTGAGAATCACTGAACTTGATTCATTAAATTTAACATTTACTTAATGTTTTTAGGTGCCAGACACTGCATTTTTTCCCTCTTCTTCTAGAGGATCCATATTAAATAAGTGCCTGGGGTTGAAAAACTGAATGACTCAGGTATAAATCTGTATTACTGAGAAAATAAAGTAGAGAAGTACTTGGCAAGATGAAAATTTGCTTACAGGTGCCAAAATGATCACTGTGCGTATGAGTTACACATCTGATGAGACTTTCTATAATCAATGTTTTTCAAAATACAATTATTGGTCTACTAATATTAAAAAAAAATATCACTAAAGAAATTGGCTAAAGGGAAAGGTATTTTATAATGTTTTTAATAATTATTATTAAAATCTCATATTTTAAAAATCTAAGTAGCATCTACAATTCATACAACCCTTTTAGATGGGACACAGCTCTGTGCTTTTATTCTAGAGTGACAAATTTTCAGAGGTCAATGGTTTTGGAGAGTTCTTTATAATGACTCAATAATTTACCTTGATGGGGGAAACATTTAACACAAAAAATGTGGTACAGAAATTATATATTTTTTTCTACAGAGAAAGAGATAGAAGTGATAGCCTCATTAAAGAAAAATTGGCACTAAATTCTAGGTATGGTAACAAAAGATGTAAGTGGACATTACAATAAATAGTATCAAATGTTGTCCAAAAACTACCATCAGAGCCTTTCCCGGTAACTCACCAGGTTAAAGTGCAGCAAACACTATGAAACTGTTGGCAGCCTCTGCAGCACGAGTTTGATCCCCAACCAGGGAGGTGACCCATATGGCACAGCAGACCTTTCCTGTCACTCCCACTGCTTTCCTCAGCAGTCGATTTGCCTGTCCTGCTTCTCATTCTGTCTCTGGTGGAGACTCAGCCCCTGCACCTCTGGCTTGTACCCCAGTTCTTGTAAGCATAAATAAATCTTTAAAAACAGAACAAAACAAAACTGCCATCATTTGTAACAAAAATTAATCTAGGATGCCAGAAGTCATACGTTTATCTTTGGAGCAATGACAATAACCTTTATTTAACTTAGTAACAGTTATATGCACTTTCTTTTGATGATTATTTGAATTCCACACATGATTTACTTTTTTCTGCATATATCTTTTTTTTTAATTACAAAAGTTTATTTTTACATCATTTTGCACATTTTTTTTTCCATCTCGATTGTAATCCCCGTGGGTTTCCGATCACCAAATCACCCGTGTGCCACCACCATAATCCCGTGCATTTCCCTCCCTTTCTGCATATATCTTATAATTCAATTTAGAAGTTTTTAAAAATTGATATATACTGTTAGTCGGTTCTAGAGTCAAAATGAGCTACTTGTAATATTGAGCCACCTCTTAATGCAAATCTACATTGACAGTTCCTCCAAAACAAAAGGTGAAGCTAAACAAACTTTCAAAATCATCACTTTTATTTATTTAGAAGAGGTAAAAGTCAGGCTGTCTTGTAATAAAAAGTCTTAGAGCAGCACCTCCAAATCCAACATACTAAAAAGACTTAATTTAAGCATACAATAATCAATGTAGAAATGGAGTATATGTATTATTACACGGAAGTAAATAGAGAAGAATGAAAAGTTGATACTGGAGAATGGGACTGAGTCTTGCAAAATTAATTTGTTACAGAAGTAGTAGTATTAAAATTTTAAATGTGCGCTTATAAGGCAAATACAGTTGACCCCGAACAACTCAGAACTGAGCTGCTTGGGTACACTTAAATGCTGAATTTTTTCAATAAACATATTGGGAAAAAAATTTAGAGACAAATTTTAAAAATTTGCAAATGGTAGCCCAGAAATATATATAAATATATATATAAGGTTAGGTATGTCTTGAATGCATAAAACATAGAAAATAGTCTATTTTCTCACTTACTATTATAAAGTATACAAAATTCTATTATCAAAAGTTAAAATTTATATTTGTACACATTCAAGAATCAAGAGAAATGTAAACAAATATAAAGATGCAATGGAAATCATAATTGCATAAAATAACCATAGCATATTGTATTAACGTAGTAATCTCTTGCCATTTCCTCTGCAATTGCAGTGACTCGAGTGTTATATCAGTTTAAAACACTGCGACACTCACTGCAATAAGCAGTTCCTCTCCTTAACATTTTTCACCATGTTTGGCATATATATAAAAAATTCATATAACAGGGCCCTCCCTGGTGGCGCAGTGGCTTAAAGCAGAGCACTGGAAAGCTAAAGCCACTTCAGCATGAGTTCTAGTCCCATCCATCCTCGAGGCGATCCACATTGTGCCACAGACCTCTCCTGACCCGCCCGCTGCTCCCCTCAGTAGCGTACTTTGTCAGTGGCCTGTTCTGCTCCCCACTCTGTCTCTGGTGAATCCTCTCACTGCCCCTGCACTCTGACCTGTACCCCAGTTTTGTAAACATAAATCTTTTTAAAAAATACATATAACGGCCCTCCCTGGTGGCTCAGCGGGTTAAAGCACAGCACTGAGAATCTAAAGCCGCTTCCGCATGAGTTCAATTCCCGCCAGCCCCGGAGGTGACCACATGGTGTGACAGACCTCTCCTGGCCGGCCCGCTGCTCCCCTCAGCAGTGTACTTTGACCATCTGCCTGTTCTGTTGCCCACTCTGTCTCTGGTGAAGCCTCTCACCGCCCCTGAGCCTCTGGCCTGTACCCCAGTTCTGTATGCACAAATAAATAAAAATCTAAAAAAAAAAAAAAAATACATATAACATACAAAATGTATACTCATTAACCATATTATTATTAGGCTATTAGTAAAGTTGTAAGGAAATCAAGTTATACATGGATTTTTGACTATATATGGGATCAGTGTCTTTAACTTGGTATATTTCTTTTTTTGTAATCATTTACTATTAGTTATTCACAAGCTATTTATTATTGCTCCAAAAAATTTTTTTTTTCATTTTGTACTTTTTTTTTTTTTAATCTCAATTGCAATCCCCGGGTTTCCCATCACCGAGTCACCCGTGTGCCTTTAACTTGGTATATTTCAAGGGATAAGTGTATGTTAGTCTATATAAACTTTAAAGACATGGAAAACGTTTAAAAGTTTATGTGGAAAATAATTTTATAATACCTAAAAGTAAGAGATTTTATTTAACACAAAACTTTTAGGAAGGGAAAGAGCACCTAAAGGATCATCTCTTTTAGTTCAACAATGAACCCAAGAAGCAGAAATGGGGCAATCACAAGGCTGGCCAGTCTACCCAACTCGCCATTCAGACCATACTGGCTAGCTGGGAATGACATCATTCCCCAAATGGCAGGATAAAAATCAGAGGCAGTGAACGACAGAGAGAAAATCCAGACTGAAAGATCTCTGGTGGGGTCAGGAAATGTATACTTTTCTAATAACCTGCCTACTTTTAAGAACAGGTATAGGAATGACTGTCCTGGAGAAAAACTCCTCACTCACAGACTATTCTGGGAATAGGGCCTTTTAGACAGAAGACCAAGTGAATTGCAATTTTTGGGTTCATTGATTTGACCACAGATTTTTAGCTCATCAATAGATAACTGCATAATCTAGACACTCATTAAAAATGTATTAGGCAATTATGTAGTTCCAGTGTACAAGTAAAGAAAACCATCTTGCGCTGTACCCTGGTGGCACAGGAATTAAAGACACAGTGCTATGAAGCCATCACCAGCTATGCAGCAAGAGTTCGATCCCCAGCCAGGAAGCTAACCCACATAGTGCACCTCCTGTCTTGCCTGCTGCCCCCGTCAGCAGTGTATTTCAGTTAATCTGCCTGTTCTGTTCCCCACTCTGTCTCTAGAACGTTCTCACCTCCACACCTCTGTCCTATACCCCAGCTCCTGCATAGATAAGTAAATGTTAGGAAAAAAGAACCTTTGCACATGTTTTCACAAAGTTACAAGGTAACTGTCAAACACTTTAATTCAATAAAATCTGACAGGGCCTTTCAGAAGATACAAACAGAACATGAAAAGAAGACCACCTTACGCTTAGCACAAAAAGACAGACATACCAGGAAAGGGTTTTACTTCAAAACTTA